TATTTTCGATGAGATTGTCATGAAACTTCACTTTAAAATAAAGTTTTAATTATATAGATATATGGAAATAATAAACCAATCAATTCGATTTATAAGTCACTCATTACAATGAAATAGATTGCATAACTATATATACTTATATCTTTTATATTAGAGTAAACCCTTCTAATAATGATCTAATTGAAAATACAATTGTTTACTTATATGTTGTTCTAATAATGTAATTACCTTTGGTGAAATAATTTTAAAAAGAAAACCTTTGTTCATTTAAACCACTTGTAATAGACAACATTTATACTGAGTTTTGAATTAATCTAGAAATGAAAACAACATCAATTTGGCAAATAATAGATTACCCTTGAGAGTAATTAAATTATTATCTATCCTAATAAATGAAATGTTTTTAATACAGGACAAACACATATTTGATATTTCACAAATGAAAACACTAACATATTTAAAGTTTATCAAAATAATTTTATTTAAGTAGTTTATTATAAGTAAATAACAATTTATTCATATTGAACTCAATTGGTTAACCTTATGAAATATGAAATTTTAAAAGAAAAATTTCTCAAAACCTTATTATTAATTGAATCTATAAGATTTGTGATATAATGCCAAATTCTTCATGAACACCAGAACACTTTTGTATTTAGTGGGAATGAGAAAAAACAAACTAACACATAGATTTTTAGCTAGATCCCTCAGTAAGAGGCATAAAAACAGAGAATTCTTTTCAATGTGATTGTAACTATTCATTTGTTGAACATTTTTAACAGAGAAAACTTATTTCATGAAAATAAGCATTAATCAGCATCAGATATTTTTGCAAAATATGAGTCAAAATTGAAAAGTCCGTTGTGATTAGAATATATAGAAAAGATTACATAATAAGCAATATCATGTACATAATTTAAGTACATAGTTTATACATGACTTAACAATATCTATAAACACACACAATTCATGTGAGAAGCATGTTGAATGATAAACAGTTTCAAAATATATGTATGTTGCATATTTCAGTATAATTATTATATACGCTAAGTGAAACATAATCAAATGTGACTACTTGAAATTTCTAAACAAGTAAAACGATATGAACTAATGATTTTTTGAATGGTAAACTTGTTATCATTGTACTGTTTTCTAAAAGCATAACAAAGCAAACAGCTATCTAGGTATCTAGAATTATAATCAGAGAGGGTTTTGTGGATATTATAGTAATTTAATAGTCGAAATCATGGGTCAGTTGAAGCTAGACCATCATGAAAAACCTGAGAATACTGGACGGCCATTTCTTTTTAGTATGGGACTCCTCGGCAGTCCGCATCCACGATCTCGCCTCACGAGATTCGAACTCAAGACCTGTCGGTCTCACGCGCAAACGCCTAACCCCTAGACCATTGATCTCGCCGGCATCCAACTATGTTAGTGTGTAACTTCAACCAATCCACGAAATTGAGCTACCGTCCGACAATGTCTTCAGTGAGTTACTATCTCACAACAGACCCTTTTGAAATCCGAAAGCTGTATTCATTTCCTAAGTTTTTAATTCTCCTGATTTCAGTAAAGATCGTAATAATTGTTTCAGTAATTACTTAAAATATATTTTTCTCACAAATAACAAAGTGGATTTAGTGTTTGAAATTTTTCTAAAAAAAGAAAACTTTTATTCATTAGCTTCCGAAGTTTAAGTTGAACTGTTTTAAGTTGGTGAAGATTTGTAGCTCAGGTCGATGATTTTGATGGAGTTTTGTTCTCTGAGCTGGATGGTTTGATCGTAGAGCTTTCATCGTTCTTCTGAACGACATCATCGGCACAAACTTCAGATAGAAGTGAAATGTTCGAATTTCTCCATATGCGTTTCACAGCTTGTTCTGTACACCTCGATGTTGATTGGTTCTTATTGACAAATTTAAGGTCAATAAGTACCAATCAACATCGAGGTGTACAGAACAAGCTGTGAAACGCATAAGTGTCTGGGAAGATCCATTACTGAGTAACTTTGTTTTCTGAATATTATCGGACCTCTTCAACACTATTCAAAACCACTATTGAATTTAAATATATTTTTTGAAATAGAGTTCAACATTTTATTTAGAATTTACAGATTAAGTGTGCATTCATATTTCTGCTAGATACTTTAACAGATAATATTGTAAATAGAATCAGTGATAATATTTATCAGATTAACGAAACTATTAGTTCGAAATAGATAGTATTGTAGTGAACGAGAACACATGTAGGGGACAACGAAATGTATTTTAACGCAACATTACAGAATGTCTTAGTAAAATCTGCGAACCATACAATAAATAATTAATCTGCAAAATATCAGTCAATTGTCTCAGAATTAATTGTTCTTTCGTTTCCACACCGATCATTCTCTGTTCTCATTCTATTTTCTTTGATCTTCCCAACCTTCTACCATCAGTTATTTCACATTCGATTGATGATACATACTACTTATATCTGTCAACATCAGTAGCACACATCATTGTATCTCATATTAAGGAGATGATTCACGTCATACGAGTTAAAAAAAATAATACTCGGTATTTAAGTGGCCTAGACTTGTTTTTTCTCACATTGTATTATTTGTAAATACTTACTTTAATGAAGCCTTGCAAATTCTGTAATTTTGAAAAATTACATTTTCAAAAAGAAAATGAACTTATAAAGACAAGTCTATTGATATGACGAATTAAACAAACTAATAATAAAGCATTTTATGAGCATATATAGATAATGGTTAGTAGTGGAATCCAAGACGCGCGTTTAGTCCCATTTGAGACTCGTCAGCTGGATGTACAAAATGCATATATGCCAATATGAGGCTGATCAATTACAGTCCTAAATAACAATGGAAAGATACAAGTAAACAACATCAAGTGAATTTAATAAAAAACTTTCTTTTGATGAATAATTCAAGATTTATATTATTTGAACGTAAAAATGTAATTGAACAGCACATTTTATGACATGAATCCAAGATCTTAAAAAATATATATTGAAATTGAAACTAGACATAAATTGTGGATGTTAATGCTTGAATAATGACAACGCAGTTTATTGAAGTATTTTATGTATATATTTTTAAACGTTACAACTTATTAACCTAATATGACCTGGAATTCAAGAATAAAGTAAGGAAGGTATGAAGAAGAAAATCAATGACATCATTTATACATATTTTATGTATAATATTGAATAATCTTTTCATATTTAAAAAACAAATAATAGATGAAAATGATTGGTTCCCTAAAGGCATTTGATTTATAATAAATTTGCTTTAAACTGGATCGAATAAAAAGTAATGAAAACTGATTTGTATTTTGAGCTTTGTAAAACTTAGATGAATAAAACTGTTCATATATAGGATGGTGGTTGTAGGTAGATAGCAGAAAACCCTTGATCAGGGTTTTGTGCTATTTGGCACTCATCAGCAAAATGTACCAGTAATCTTGAAAGAACTGATGCTCCCTGACGGATTCAATCCCGTGCCACCCAGCTTTACAATCAGAGATGGTACCACTGAGCTATTCGGGCCGCCACTGACTTTCTGTATGACTGAGATGTATTTACAATTGAGTGATTACTCTCATGTATTTTAATTGTTTTTGGTGCAGATCGAGAAGCATCAGTCCCCTCAAGATTACAGGTACATTTTGATGACTAGTGCCGAGTAGCACGAAGCGTAAGTCCAGGGTATCCTGTTGACTACTTCAAACCACCATCTTATCTCAATTTTCTTTTATTGTAGTTTTAGACTTTTAACATAGTTTTCAGTAGACTAATTGATTATGGCTTTCTGATTTAAGCTAATTTTACCACATTCAATGCGAAAAACATATTATTAATTACCTAGTATTATAGTCAGTTTTCAGGTTTAATCATTGAATTTCTAAATATAATAAAACTATAAATAAGAAATCAATTCACATAAAGAAAATTATTAATTCTTTCCACTATAAAACTACCCATTCTGATGTAAGGAATAATACGTGTTTTACAATAATGTTATATGCTATGAACACAATGTTCTATGTAAAATAACGAGACTTTAAATCATTTTTCTAGTTTTATCAACTAGTTGATAACTAAATTGCTTTAAATCTATTAAACAAAATTCAGACTAAATTCTTGTAACTGAAACAAAGATGTTGGTAAAAATCAATAATTCCTAATGTTCATACATTTCATGTCACTGATTTCGTATTTCTTTAATTAGGAGAAACCTTTTTTTGTACACAATGGAGTGATTTGATTTTATTACTTGACCCAAAGTATAGTCTATTCAAGAGTTATAAAAACGTTTAATATAGATTAATTACCCATTTCAAATTTAAATATTACTTAAAACAATTAGTCCCTTTTATAAATTTCGATAATGTAATAAGAAGACGGAGATTATCAAAACTATGTGATATATTAGCGCAATACATTTCGAACAATCTGATCACACATATACTTGTTAAGAGCATTTATATATAAAAATAAAAGGTCAACTAGACTGGAAATGGGGTAAGAGGAGATTTGTTTTAACTATGCTTTTAAGAGTTGTGTCCAAAATTTGACATTGAACCTCCCAGTTGTTAATATAGCCTTTTTTGAATGGCATGACACAAAATAAACTCGACAAATTGTTGCATTGTTCTATTTCATTTCCAACGAATGTGCGACCACCAAGCGTTTTTGACTTAAAAATGGAGTTATCAATAATCTTAGGATGAGGATCTGTAGAAAATCCAATTTTTAGTGATCCACCACCCATATCGAGTATCAATGTTGGTGATGCCATTATTATAATGAATTAGAACATATATTTAGAGTTATTGCACGAGGTTCCAAACATACGACAAATATTACTCTTTTGTATACATTAGTTAAAAATCTATATTAAAGTTCAATATTTACCAACCTTAATTTGAGTCTAAATATTAAACAAAATACCTATGAATTCCTTCGTAAAATGTTTTCTTTTATTTGTTTTCATGTCAAAATGTAGAACAAAAAAAGTAGGTAGGATGAAATATCTACCCTGGCTACCATTTCATTACAGACCTCACCACTGAGTTTGCTTAATCATTTTATTTCTATAACAATATCATATTAATTTATTTTTTGTTAATGTTTTTTTACTGTCTACGTTGAAAGCTTAGTATATTTATCTTCGGAAATCAACATATACTATCAAAAATCAAGAATAATAAGACCTTAGAGATTTTTGTTTTGCATTCTTTCACTATTACAATGGGAACCAATCTTGTTAGCTATATGTAATATTGAATTTATTTTAAATAAACAGTTAAAGTCTAGAACGATTGAACTGAATGTTACTGTTTCACTGACATATACAATGAATTTCCTTAGACTAAATGTAATTACCTACAAAGTTTATTGAAGGGAGAAATATGGACAGAATTAATCGATCACTCAAATGTAAATACATCTCAGTCATACAGAAAGTCAGTGGCTTACCGAATAGCTCAGTGGTAACATTTCTGACTGTGAAGCTGCGCGACACGTTATCAAAGTCGTCAGAGAGCATAACTTCCACCAAGAATACAGCTGCACTATGCTGACGAGTGCCAAATAGCATGAAACCTAGGTCCAGACTTTCCTGTTGACTACCTCCAACCACCACCTCATCAAAACATAGTGCATTCAATGTCGAGTCACCTAGACTAGTGGCCACATTGCAACTTAGTCGATAGGGTTCGATCTGCATTAAAAATGACCTGACATATATGACATTGATCACTACCGAGTGATCAATCAACTGAAATTTGATATATATAATAAATTTTTTCAATGTATAAAAAGTCGACTTTTTTAACTCTTGTACATATTAGTAACTACGAAACTAACAATTTCTTTATATGTGTTACTACATCTTTCTTTTTTTGCTTTCCTATTTTTTTCAACAGGATTTATGGACTGTACCCAATTGTATTCAATTAATTTCAACTATGAAAAAAACTGAAAAAATCAATATAACATTAAATGGATTATGCTTTCAATGTGATACAATAACTATAAACAATAATTTATCTTTTAATGAAAATTCTATACAACTTCATAAACCAATATTTAATAAATCAAATGATTATAATCATCATTATATAATTTATTTAAATAGTTACCATGTCAATACTTATTTAACATTAAATATTAATTCTATGAATTCAAATCAATTATTACATTATGCATTAGTTAATTATAATAAATATTTATCAATGAAATGTTTTAAACAATCACCAACATTATTATTATTTATATTCAATGTACAAATATGTAATTTAAATTATATAGAACGTGTTGAATTAAATAATATTATAAAACTATTTATGAACTTAATAAATATTACCTATTTTAATCATTCATTAATTAGATCTAATAATGATAATGATAATTATAATAACAATATTAATTTAATTTTGGAATCACCAATAATTTATGAAAGGTAAGATTGATTATATAATAATTATTATAAATTATTAAAAGAGAACGAATCAAATTTATGATGATGCATTTTGGATTTTGGTATGAAATTCATTCACTAATTTATTTAAATAATGTTTTGATATTTTAGTTGTTAATATCAGTTCATGATGAAAATCATAAATCTAAAACCTAACCCTTACTATTAAATGTAAATTATAAACCTTATTCTTCATACTGGTTTATAAACCTTCTTTAGTCTCATTAAGTAGGTGGATATTCTGAAGGTTCATTTAGAGTCACTTAAAGGTCGTCCATAAGTTGTAGTCTCAGCTTAGATATTTTCGTTTTTTTTTTGTTTTGTTAAAAATTACTTCAGCGGTTAGGAGTATCAAGGCCTAAAAAATTATTTCATCTACTGTATAGTAGCCATTAAACTATATTTTAAATCTTAGGAATCATTACCATTGTTTGATTTGATAATTTCGAATAAATTGAGAATTGGGTAGATTTTTATAAATAAATAATATATTTGTAATATCCCAATGAGTAGAAAAATTAAATTTTCTGACGTTTCATGACTTAGTGTAAGCCACCTCTTCAGAGATGAAGTCGGGATATTACAAGTATATTATTTATTTATATATTTTAAATCGTTTAATGATCTCCATCATATAAAAAGATTAATATTTGAACGAAAAATATTCTTTTTGATAAATCATCTTCAGGTTCTACAATTATATAGCCAAATTAATAATCCGAAAAATAGCCAGATTAAAAGCAAAATACCTCCTAAATTCACATACTTTGCCCTTAACTTGGCCATTTTTCAGATTATTAATTTGGATATATAATTGTTGAACCTGAAGAAAATTTATCGGAAAGAATATTCTTCATTCAAATATTAGCATGTTTTTTAAATATTTGGTCATTGAATAAACTGAAATCATCTATCTCTTCATGACAAACACATTTTATGTATTTTTAAGCTATTAAATGATGTTGTTCAGTCAAAAAGTACTCAACTCAGCTACCAATTATTAAGCATAATATAAGCAAACAAAATTGTTAGCATGTCATAATAACAGATAAGCTTCTGATAAATAGGGATTTTTGTTGCAAATACGTTTTAATATTAAAAATATTTATTTATTTAGCGAACTATGAGAAAGACATAATTATAAATAGACTTGTATTACTATTCATTTTCTCAAGAAAACCTCTACATATATCAATTCTATTGTGTTGTATTCATTTTCCCTTTTTATTCAATGTAGGCAAGTCAATAGTTGAGAAATGTTGACATTTTTGAATACGTACTACATGCTTTAATAAAAACAGTTAAGACGTTAAAAATAATATTGTTTATATGCCACTGAAGTTAATGATGGAAGAAGCTTTGTGTTTTAAGTTATCACCTAAGCACATTTTACAGAAATTATTACTACCATACTTGGTATATCCTTGTTTCATGTTTCAATGGAATACTTAGAATATCATACAATTAACAATAAATTTGGACTAATAATAGGATATATTTCCATTCACGTATTGTTGGGGACGTTAGATCTCCAGAACTCACTTGGAAAAGGACCTAATTTTGTAATTTATTTAGAAAATTTGAATGTCTTTGTTTTCGCGCCAAAAGCGGTCTTGTCACATTCATGTCGTATTTCCCACTTGGGAAATATCTTAATGCTATTGATTCGTTGAGTCTTTTAGTATGCTATTTGGTAACTCTCCTCAAGGACGGTTTTGTACTGTATATATACGTTTTGATTTGTGTTTGTTGTTATCGCTCGTTTCTGGCTGTTTGCAGAATATACTTCCCCATTCCAAGCTTCGACTTCTTCCTTCAGTTAGCGGGGCTGGGACGCTTCAATAACTAGCTTATTGGTCTTTGGACACCGAGTCTTTGTTCTCATTCTCAGATTAAGTGAACTCATGATAGCTTGAAACCTAGCACGTATTAGCTGCATAAAGCATTCTTAAAAAAATTGATATAAAATATTTGAGATTACTTTTAAATACTAAAGTACAACGTACTTGTAAAACAATACAACAGAGCACTGTATATCGTCAAAGCTTTACAAAGTTATTCAGTATTTCTCTTACTGTAACTACACATTTTAACTTGCTAAAATATAAGATTTTAGAGTTTTTTCCATTAAGTATAAACGGAAACTGTTTTTGCTTGTTAATCACTTTATTAATTTATATCTTTCTAACAGAAGTGTAGACATAAATAAGTAGTAATTTTCGAAAGTTCTCGAAATTTTATGCAAGAATAAGTCATATAGAATTAAATGAAATTTTAATTACCTATAGCGTTTCATCTCTTCATAAACATGTAATAACTATGAATGCACATGACACTCGAATAAATTAAAAACAAAACAAACAAAAACAAGAACGACATTAAATAATAATTTTGAAATTTATCCCCTTTATATCATTAAATTTTGTTTTGAACAATAAAAAAAATTTATTTTTATTTTTTGAAGGTCATAAAATTCTTTTGTTTACTGTTATGATTGCTATTTGATCGAATATGTTTAAGAAAAGTAGCAAATAAAATGTAATTAACCCAAGAGAAAATGACAAAAGAAGCAAAGTTACACAAAGAAAGCATAAACACATTCAAAACAAGACAAGAATTGATCCATATATATATAGTTTTAATGTATTTGATATTAACCTTAATCAAAACCTATTCCAAGCAATCAATCTCTTTGACAAATCTGTATTATGCAATAAGAAGACGAATATTATCAGAACTAAATGATATCGTAGCGCAATATATTTCGAACAGTCTAATCACACATATACTTGTAAGAACATTTATATATAAAAATAAAAACTCGGCTAGACTAAAAATGAAGGCTAAGAGGAGACAAGGATAATAAAGATAATAATATGAAAAACAATTTGAAGCCTAATCACGCTCGAAAGTTATTCAAGTATTTAAAGCATCTAAGAATTTAGTAGTTGAATTCATGAGTCCATTAAGGCTAAATCACTACGTAGAATCTGAAAGCACTGGACAGTAGTTTTGTCCTACTCTAAGACTCATCAGTAGTGCACATCCACGATCTCGCCTCTCTATATTTAAACTCAGGACCTATTGGTCTCGCGCGTGAACGTTTAACTCCTAGACCACCGAGCCGGTTTTTTCTTAAATCAAAATAAATTTTAAAGAAACAAATATCATCTCTACGAGATAATAATGTTTTATTGAATCTATTATTTTTTATCTTTACGTAACAGTATGATAATAATTAAACAACTTAAAAGTCTAGGTAAGATTTGGAGAGTTTTTCTTTTTGGTAATAAAATCCCTACATTTTGGACGTAAATCATTTCAGTAAATCATCTGGTAGTTGCACCAATTAATTCTGACTCAGTAGTTTAGAGATAAATCCTGAAGGTTCAAGTGTTGGTAATAGTGTCCACTGCTGACATGCTGCAATATTAAGAGAAAACAACTGTCCAGTGTTCTCTGGTTTTCAGTGTTTATATAATTGAAATCAATCCATGATCTAGATTGCTATCGAAATAAAAGATCAACATGAACAACTTAAACTTAAAGAAAACTTTTCAGAATTAATACAGATTTTTGCAGTCTTTTCAGTTTCTCCGCCACTTTATTAAATTGTAATATCCATCAGAATATTACTATCTAGTAAACGTCGTTAAAATCAATTCATTAAAATATCTGTGTATGAATAACTTGTTGTATACAGCTCAAAACAATGATTCGGTGATTGACGTACGCTGAATAATGCAAAGTTTTCATTCACTAGTTCATTGTCACGTACTCAAATACATAAGAAATCAACTACTGATATATTTAAAATAACGATATGTATTTGCGTCAAAATTATTTGCCATGACTAGTAATTTTTATAGTGTAACGAAATAAAAAACAAAAAATTTTGTTATAGCTGTAAACATTGGTTTTTTCTAGTGAAAACCAGTTTTATTTCAACATTTTTTGAGGATACATAATAATAAAACAAGTGTTAAGTTAGAAAAGTTGTATGATATAGCTAAATATTCAATTCTGAAACCGAGTATTCAAAATCACCTTTATTTATATATATGTGGTGTATCCTACGTATGTCTTAAGACGTAAGTAATATATAACGTCAATCAGAAATAGAATGCCTGGTAGTAGAAGGTTGAGAAGATCAAATTCAAAAGAATGGGAACGTAAACAGAGAATAATTGTAATTGCAACGAAGGAACAATGGAATTTGAGACAATTGATGGAAGATTTTCAAATGAATTATGTAAACTATAAGTTCTCATATTTTACGGAAGAAATATATCTATATGTAAAATATAAGACTGTATCTAGTATAAGTTTGAGATAAGAAAATATAGACTGTTTTCGAAAAAATGCATGATTGATGTTTATATCTGATATTGTATTACATTAATTCTAGCTCTAATGCTTCATTTACTTTATATACATTTATATAGCCCTCAATTTTTTCATGATTACCTACTATGAAATAATTAAAATGAATAAATTATCCCATTCATGGAGACTAGAGATAAGACAGCAAAAAATATTTTTCTAACATGAAAAAAAATTAATCAGGTAGTTTGAAACAGTGTCTTAACTGAATATCCTTACAAAAATTTAGAGCATCCATTAAAATTAAAAAAAAATAATCTTTCATAAATGACTTCAAAACAAGTTTGAGAATTAGATTTGATGATTATTCATTTGATCAATACTATCGATCTGATAATCTGGACATACGTATGCTTTATTCAGTAATCTCATCTTCAGATACTATAACACAGATCAACCTTTAATTTTTACACACTCTCTCCAATTAATATCACTTTGAAATGAAAATTGTCAAGGAATAGTTCTTGATGAGAGAACATATCATAGTAAAAAGTGATGTGAAATTATCTTGTGAACTAGGCACTTTACTATTATTGTCAACATTTCAGACACATACTATTATTATATGTGAAAATTATATTTGAAATAAGCTCAGCGAT